ATCGAGCAGCCGCAGCGTCGGCGAGCCCGCGGGGACCCACGCTCCTGCTGCTTTTGGCTTCCCCGATCCTCCTCCCTGCCCACCTCCCTTGCTCCTCCTCCTGCCTAGGCTCCTTCTCTTCCTAACTCTCTCCTTGCTTCCCCTCTTCCCTCGCTCCCCTCCCCCACTCACGTGGCGCTTTGGGCCTCCTGTGCGACACCCACAAGGGCAGATGGTAGCGTCCTCTGAATGAGACAGAATGACTGGCATCCTGTAAGTATTCTAAAATCACGTATTTTTTAATGGGCAAAAAAGAATGCCCCCTTTCATTGATGTTTAATTTTCTCCTCTTAAGTGCCATACACTCATGGTCTAATGAATTTCCTTGAGGCCCCAATTCTTTCGTGTATTATTATATGCAATTTTTCAATAGTAATATTATTTGAAAATTAAAAATTGACCGATCATTTCTGCTTCTCTTCTTTCTGGCCTCCTCCTGCGTGTGGTCATACCAGGGCTGCCCCATTTGGGCCTCAAGATACCAGGGCTCCTGGCGTGGGTGTGCCCCGAATGTTAGTATGTATGAGTACAGTACTGGCAGCAGTGAAAACAACAAGAACTGAGAAATATTGCGTGTTTGTTATACACCAGACACTGTTGTAAGTACTCTGCCTGAATTAATTCCTTTAATCTTGTCATCGCCTGTACCCATTTTCCACACAGGAAACTCTGGGGCACAGAGACGTTCAGTGACTAGTTTGAGTTCCACCCACTAGGGAATAACAGTGCCAGGACCCAAACCTAAGTGTCCTGAGCAGCTAACCAGCACCTGGCATGTAAATGTAAGCAGTATAAATCAGACCTGGAAATACAGTGGTGGTCATGGGAATGCAGAGACAATTTGTCAGGAGGCTGGGAACTTAAATCCAGGGGGCAGTGGGTGGCAATGGGCACTCTCAAGGCCTGGTCAAATTAAGCTGTGAAAGGGCTGTTTTCAGGACACAGAACCCCAGGATCTGACCTAAAATGACCCTGAGAACCTCTTGGAGCCAGAAGTCTCCCAGGAACAGAGCATGATGAACAAGCTCAGTGCCCTGCAGGCAGAGATTAGAAGCTGGGGTGCCATCTAGGGTGCAGAATGGGCCACAATGGGGAGAGACCTGAAACTCCCCCATTTCCACCAGTTGGATCCCCATTTCCCCTTATCCTGGGCAGCTTGATTCCTCCTCTGTGGCCCATCAGGTTGGCAGGTTTGAGTGTGTCCCCTGCCTACTTGATGATCCACCAATGACACAAAATGACACAAAACTGGTTTTTGCAAAACCAGTGCCACAGTATTGGCTTCTATGCATATGTAGCAGCAAGCTTTTGCTGGGTATTGCTGGGAGAGCAGCATTGTGGCACTGTGGGCCCTGCTGGCTTTCTACTATCTTGCACTTCTGTTAGTGACCTGGGGCTCCTGTCTGCTTGCATCTTGTAACTGTGCTGCCTGGGACCCAGGTATTTCTGAAAGTAAACACAGGTGTTTGTGTTCTATACAAATTGTGTGTGACTACAATGGTATAAAATGCTGAAAACAATCTAAATGTCCAAAGTAGTAAAATGGATGAATTAGCTGTGGAATATATATCATACTGTTTAGTCAAGAAAATGACAAGAAAGAAAAGAAAGAAAGAGAAAGTGACAGATCATACAAGAATAAATCTCAGGAACACGATGAGGAGTAAGAGATGCCAGCCACAAGAGTACAAACTATCTGATTTAATATACATAGAAAGTTCAGAAATGGGTGAAACCAAGCCATTTTGGAAGTTGGCATAACTGAGGAAGATTGCCAACTGTTTGGCTGTGTGTTATTTTTTAAGCTCTGTTTTAATTTTTTATCTGAGTGATAATTTCATGATGTGTCTTTATAGCAATCAATTATGCTAGATATTTATTTATTTATTTATTTATTTATTTGTGGTGGGAATTACATATTTCAAAACAGCAGTGTGGCATTCATACTAAATAGGACTCATGGTTATTTATGCTTCAAAGAGCTATTTGCTTTAGCCCAGCACAGTGCCAACATTGAATTAAATAATACTCATCATAAAATTTGAATTTGAATCTCATTAATTCAAACTTTTCCAGGAATACCTATCACAAAGCGCTGTACACTGTGTACATCTCTAATATTTATTTTCAATATGGGTATCATCTTCCATGAGTACTATTTATAGATATTTTAATATTTTTAACCAACTGAACTGGTTCTGCAGGATTATTACAAAAGCAGTCAATGGCAATTCATGCACATAACTTCCGGGAGTAAAAAAAATGAAAGCTCTAAGGAGGGCTTGGAGGGACAGCAAAGACGATGTCCTAAGGGGTCAGGCAAGGCCCAGCCCACTGCTCACGGAGAATGTGCTGCTGAGCAAGGCAAGTGAGCCTTGCTGGCAATGCCTTCTCTTCTTCAGTCTTGGTTTAGCTCCTCTTTAAAGTCCCTGATCTGGGATCTGCCAGCTGTTGCAACTCTGCCCTCCGCCTTGATGAGAAAGGCTACATCCACCTCCTCAGAGCTGCCGCGGTGTGCCACAGGCCTCGCCTCCACAGAAAAGCCTCCCTCCCACCCCTTTCACAACAACTGATAGCTGCCAGTTTCCCTCCCAAACACAACCCAGAAACTCCCTAGGTCGAAGCTTTCCCAGCTCCACAAATCCTCCCTGATGATAAGAACTCTTTAGAAATTTCTCTTAGCTGTTGCAAAACCTTGACCTCCCCTCATTTTTCGTCACCCCAAAGATAAGAACAAGCCATGTAATAGTTTCCCGGCAGCCACGATCACTGGCCCTCAGTTCTGAAATGATGGGACATCCTGCCCCTCCCAGAACCTGCAGCCCTGTCTTTCCTAGTGAAGGCTGTCGCTCCCATGGTCAGTCCTGTGGAGGATGGAGGAGGTGCTTCCTGTAGTGCTCAGTAGTTGCCAGAAATCACTGCAGCTTAAAGACCAGAGAAAACATTATACCCAAACACCCCTCAGATCTGCCTGCAGCATCCTTTGAAAAAAAAAAGGTGAGTCTGCTGTACCAGTAGCCTATTTTCCCCATCATATACATCCTAGAAGGTATATATTCTTCAACACAGTGGAATCATGGGAGGCGTTCAATTTCAGAGGGACGCGGGTATGGTCATTAGCTGTGGCACTAAGTGCTGGAGTCCCTCATGAACTCGGAGTGAAGATGTGTGAGCAAGAGAGGTGAGCACAGCTGTGCTGGGAGCCAGCGATGCCTTCCAGGAGTACACTGTTCCTGAAGGAAGAGATGCCATGAATAATTGCAATTCCAGGCCATATGTGGAGGGGCTGGGGGACATGCAGAGAGGGGAGTAGGAAGTCAGATGTGCAGAACAGATTCCTCGTGGGGACAAAAATGTTGCTGTGATTCAGGAAAGCAGACTACTCAGGAGCCAACGGGCGCCCCTCCCCCATCTTCCCAGTGAGTACAAATCTCCAACAAATTAGTCACATTGATCAGGCTTAAAATGTCCCAACCATTTCTCACAGTTATTCTCATAAAATCTAAACCTATGCTATTCTTTCTTCAATTTTACCCTTTAGTAGATGGCATCTCAGAGACTGAGTTTCCTAAGGTTGCCCAGCAAGGGATGGAGATGGAGACTTGTGCCACTATCAGATGTCAGATCTACACAGACAGCAGTGCAGCAAAGCTGTGTCAGTGACGGCTTGCAGCATGATCACGGTCATGGCGAGAACCGAGAACCAAGTGGCTCCCTGGCTTCCCATTCACAGTTCACTAATAAACTTGATGGGTGATGGAGGAGGAAAGACATGGTTCCAAAGTTCCTAGCAAATCACCAGAGATTAGCTCAGGGGTTCCGCTGCCTGCCTCGCAAGCGCAAGGTCCCAAGTTTGATCCCTGGTACCAAACAAATAAACAAAAACAAAAACAAAAAAGTTCCTAGCAAATAACAGGAGAGGGGAAAGAAGTGTGTGTGTGTGTGTGTGTGTGTGTGTGTGTGTGTTGGTGTGAATAATGAAGGGGGAGTGCACAATATTAATTTGAAGTTCTTAAAAGGCTGGGGTTAAATGTGTTCTCTCATTAGCAGTATTTTGTTTACTAACATGTTAAGAGGAAGGAAAATTAGAATGTCTCATGGCCTATTGAAACATTTTCATACATATGCTGCTGATTTGAAATCATTTTTGAAAAACTCAACTTTTATGTTTTAACTTTTTACTATAATTCTAAGATTTCATTAATTCAAATGGCTTTCTAAATGGTCAAAATGTGAAAGTTTTAATCTGCACTAAAACATGGAAATACGGCTTTCTGGAAAGACCAGGTCTTCCCCTGGTGAAAGGTGGGTCTTTCTACACCCTTGCTGGCCAGTTGGGTGGGGGTGCTCTGCCTTCCACAGCCTCAGATACGTGCACCAAGGGGCACAGAAGTGGAGTAAAGGTCACCCCTGCCAGTGCAGTTCCTTGGGGCCTACCAAAGCCAGAAGTATGTCTCTGTGACAGGCACCTGCATGGCCATCTGAGTTCCAGACTAGAATTTCAGGCTTCTGTGCCTCCCCAGCTTGGCAGGAACAAGTCAGTCTTGGAAGCCACTGGGCAAAAAATTTTTCTGGGCTTTTCCACCCTAGGAAAAGAGACAGCATGGCTGTTCTTGGGTACTAATTTCTGTCAACTGTAACACAGTCCCAGGAACTCAAGAGAGCTATGTAGATTCCTGCCACACACTCCAAGGAGAACCTTCAAGTTAACCAAAAACAAACAAATAAAAAGATGGTGTTCTGGCTTAGAGCAAGATGGTCGCCAAAACTCTGATGTGCTCAGAAGTAGAGATTTTGGAGGGTGATTGGGTCATGGAAATGCTATAGGTGAGTTGCTGTTAGGAGGCAGGGTCTGGCTGGAGGCAGGTCACTGGTGTTGTGACCTAGAAGGGTATAGTCTCATCCCTGCCTTCTCCCTTCTCCTTCTGATTCCTGAAGTAAGCAGCTTTTCCACCACCAGGCCCTTTCTTCATGCCTTCCTGCTTTGGAGCCAGCCAAAAATGGGGTGAAAATATGAGGCAAAATAAATCTTTCTTCCATTAAATTGTGGGTGTCAGGTATTTTGTCCACTGATGGGAAATCGACTAAGACAGGTGATTAAAAATAGCAGGTTTTAAGTTAAAATGTCAGCTTTCTTTTCCTTTTTTCCCTAAAACTATTGTCCTGAGATATAAATTTTAAACATACTAAAATAATATGCAGGAAAAGATGATCAGACAAGAAAAATGCAAATGAAACCCACTAAAATAGGGGCTTCTCTATCCAGGAAAGGAAAAAAGTTGGGTCCATCTGCTCTGGCTCCCCTTGGCCTGAACCCTCTGTGCATCAAGGGGTGTGGTGAACAACTAAAGCGATGCAGACTGGCGAAAGGAGAAAAGTAACAAGCCCATGCACACACACGCAGTACACACAGAACCTCTCCCTACCATACAAGGGAACTCACAAACAGCAGCCCTGGATCCAGAGTCCCAGAGTCCAAAGTTGTGCTTAGCAAAAGGAATAAGTTCTAGTGATCCACCTACAACATGGTGACTAAAATTAATAATAATGCACTGAGAGCTGGGATGTGGATCAGAGTAGACCACCTGCCTAGCATGTACAGGCTCCTGAGTTCCATCATTAGTACTGCAAAAATTAAATAAACAAATAGGTGTTGTATACTTGAAAATCTCCAAGAGAGTTGGTCTTAAATATTCTCCCTGGGGAAAAAGTAAATATATAAGGAAATGCATATGTAAATTCATGTTAATTAGCTGAAGTATGGTCTTCGTCCAAGTATATGTAATCAAAACATCATGTCGTACTCTGTAAATATGAACACTTTTTATTTGCTATGTGTGCCTTGATAAAACTGGAGGGGGAACATAAGGAACATTTTCAAGTCACCATGTGTTTACCCTTTCTTCTGAGGCAGTGAGATGTTTCCATTGACCACAAGGAATTGTATTAATTCCCTCATTCAACAAGTATTTATTAGGCACACACTGCACATGAGGCCTGCGGTGGCTGGGGATGTGCCTGTGAGCACAGAGACACAGATGGTCCTTTGCAGAGCTGAGGTTCCAGGCAACATTTAGCCCAAGCAAATGATGAGCCATGTGCATGATGAGTGTCACAAAGGAGGAGAGCTCAGGGACGTAGGGGTGGTGGAGCCTAACGCCGGCCACATATGGGCCAAAGCTGGGAAGAAGTAGGGAGCAAGTCCTGAGTCTGGGAAAGGGTAGCAAGAACAGATCCATAAGGGAGACTGTTCCCATGCTGGGGAAGAAGCAAGGGGCCCAGTGAACATGGGGGAAATTAGGAATGGGGAGGGAAGGCATTGAAAAATGACAAATGGATGCAGGTCACAGTAAGAATGGGGTCCACACTGCATGGACCATGCCACCTTCAGAACAGAGCTGAGTGGTGGCACCATGTGACTCCGGGAGCAGGGGCAGTGGGACAGATGGCAGAGGTGCGGTGTTAGACCTGCCCTGAAGGAGGAGTCAGCATGAGCCCCTGATGAGCTGGGTCTTAAGTTTGCTGTGCACAAGGATACAAGGACCACACCAACCAAGCCTGGCCTGGCATCATCAACTGAAAAAAGGAAGCCTCCAGCAACACCAGGTCTGGAGAGAAATTAAGAATTTGGTGTGTACATGCAAAGTCTGAGTTGCCTATGAAATATCTAAGGGAAAATATGGGGCAGATAATTGAATGTGAGTCTGGACTACAGGAACGTGCTGATAACAGGCATGATAACATTTCATCAGCTCATGCTTGGATGATGAGAGGACGTAAGAGGAAGTGTAGACTCAGAGTAGGGAGCACACGTCTTCAATCTAGGAGCTATGATGGCCAAGTGACAGACACTGAGAGGGACGACATGGAGAAGCTGCCTGCCAAACAGTCTGCGTGACAACGAGAGCTTATCAGCACAAGTACAGCACCTGAGTGCAGGTGCAATTCAGCTCATTCATTCTGAGTTTAAAGCAGTCCTATGTTCCTCGCTACAGTGTGGCCAGCTATAAACATGATCTGGCCCTGAGGCCACCCTATTAAAGAGAACAGGCTCTACCTAGTTGTCAGCTGATTGCTTCACTCTTCCTGGGGCCAAGCTGAATTCAGTCAAGGACAGCACACAGCAGTCCTTCAGTGGACACACACATGGTCCTCCACACCCAGCCTTGGGCCAAGCCCCAGGTCCTTTGTACCCTCTGGACATTGACCTGGCTGTGTCAATAAACAGAACCACTGGAGTCAGTTCTGCCTGGTACAGTCCTGTACTTCAGGTTTGGCAGACAGAGGTGGAGCCAGATGGACAGCACAGAGGTGTGGCACTTGGCTGTGACTGGCAGCGACTTTAGCTGGGTTTCCTTTCTTACACTATCAGAACATCTTGTTTTGGCCTTAGGAAGAAAAATATACTCTTGGATCCTTGAACTATGTGTGAAGCTTGTGAATACTTGCTGTCTAGAAGACAAGGTGACAATTAAGTCCCTGGCCCACAGTGAGTGTCCAGGGGCCATACCTAGCAGTGGGCTGCACCTGAAAAGCTTAGTTGGAGGAGAGTACAAACAGACATTCATATTCCCTGGGGCTGGTCCCACAGGGCTAGGGGGTGGGGAAGGGGAGGAGGGGAGATGGTGTGGCCAGCTGAGCCACGTGCTATCCAGACCATGTCACCTGCCTGCGCACATCCTGTCTGTCAAACTTGCATCCTCTTTTCAGTAAAGTGGGTATGTTGGTCTGCTCTAGTGCCATAACCCAGCACCACAGATTGGGTAGTTTAAACAAACTAGACTTATTTTCTCATGGTTCTAGAGAATAGAGGTCTAGACAGGGCTGGCTCCTCCTTGGCTTACAGATGCCATCTTCTCCCTGTGTCCTCACATGGTCATCCCCCTGTGTGTGTCTTTGTCCTAATCTCTTCTTATAAGGACATTGGTCCTGTTGGATTATGACCTCGTTTTAACTTGACTACCTCTTTAAAGATCATACCTCCAAATAAGGTCTCAATCTGAAGTCCTGGGGTTAGGATTTCCACATGGAAATTTTGGAGACACAGCTCATCCCATAATCACATGGGTAATGCTACTTTAGAGCGTATTTTATTATGCTTATGTAAGTATGTAGCATATATACAAAATAATATATACAATGTATTATAAGTTACATTTGATAATCAATTGTTTTGTTTTTTAGTATTTATTGTTTGTTCATAAAAAACTTTTTTTGCCTAGGTTCCTTAATATAATAAGAATTCTTATGGATGCACTGTGAAACCAAACATAAATGTTCCCCAAAAGATGTGTTTCTGACTTTTCTCAAGGTATGGTGGTATTTACTGTCATTTTCTTTTATTTTAGGTCATTTCAGGCCTGCTTAGAAGCAATGAGAGTCTTCTCACAAGAAGTAACAGCCAGGGACAGCCAGAAATAAAATCTACCAAGTTAAGAAAAAATAATGCACAAAATAAATGGCCATCCTGAATGTAGTCCTTGTTTTGTCAAGTGTTAGTTGTGTGATTCTGACTCTCTCTTCTTTGACTAATGTGGTAACATGCTCCAGAGATAGAAGAGTGGCTTTTGGAAGAGAGATAACTTTATAAATTGAAAATTCAATAATTTTGTTTATTTTTTTATAGAGTCAAAGTACAAAGTAAGTGACCAGTAATCACTGGATAGATGGACAGGTGGATGGATGTGTGGATCGATGGATGGATGGTTGATATATAGGCGAGCAAAATAACACAGAAACATAGGAGGAATGTCTTTCTGAGTCTCATTTGATCTAACCCCTAATCACATAGTAATGTAGCAGGAAGTCTCATCCCCTCATATTCCCACTGAAGCAGACACTGCTCCAGGTTGCTTCTGTTAAAGTCCTGTTGCCTCATGACCCTTCATGACCTTTCACGACCCCTGTGACTGTACCACCATGTAGCATGGATGACTTATGTTGGTATTGCCACTAGATCTGATGGGATCCTCCTTCCCCCTCAAAGCCCAATTCTCTCTAGTAAAAGACAAACACAGTCCATCCCACATTGGTGACCCAGTGCCTCCTGCAGGGCAGACATCTGGGTCTCACACTGGCAGGGCTGTTCCCGATGCTCTGCAGCCAATCCAATCCTCCCAGTTCATACCTCAGTCTCTGCGCCGAGTCTTCTGTGTGAGGAAGGAAGTCTTACTGTCTCACAAATAATCTGCATCTCACTTTAGCCACTGTATGCTCCTGTTGTGTCTTCTTCCCTCCCTCCTCCCCCTCAGTTCCTTGACAATGGGTGCCAGTTAACACATCCTTATACCAACCCCTTTCTTTATCCAGTTGATGAGAGAGCCTGGCCTTTAATGGCACTCATCTCTCTGTACTCTTCCCAGCTGACTTTGGGCATAACCTCTCATGGTACCTGCTCTCAAAGTACCCCACAATCACAGGCCTGAAGTCATTCCTCCATGCGGTCCCTCTCACCTTGATCAGGAATGGCCAAGGAATCAGTGGAATATTGGGGAGGGTGATTTCTCATTATTTCTTGTGAACTCAACTACCACACCAGGAGGACACTCAGATGTACAAGTGCAAGGCCCATATGCAAGTGGTTAGGGCCTCCTGGAGCCAACCTTGCAATACTGTAGCCCTTCCAGCACCCTGACTGCAAGCTCACAGGTCACAGCCACCAGCTAAACCACTCCTCATTCCTGATCCAGATGTAGAAGAATCTAATGCTTGTAATTTTAGCCACCAAAGCCTCTGTTAATTTGTTAGGTGGAAGTAGCTAACTAATAGATTTCCCAAGATGCTCAAACCTTAATGGTAGATCTGTCCTTGGAGTTCACTTACATCACCCTACAATACTGGCTAAAAGCAAACATCATTGCTCTCTGTTGAAAGCTTTTCTTCTGCAGAGCTCATCCCCTGGGAGCCAAAGGACAAATCAGACTCTTTTGCAGGATGTGGGGGCTCAGGAACCCTCTTCCACTCACCCACTCCATTCTCCCTACAATTTTTAACGATCTGAGAGAATGACTCAAACAATGTGCTCTCTTTAATATGTAGAATAAGAACAGATGTAACTGAAGAGATCTGTGTGTCTGCCCTGTCCTTCACACTCAGATAACCATGCCCTGATGGTCAGATGTGCTGGTGAGAGGCATGGGGCCACCCTGATCCTTACCTTCTGTCCAGTTCTTGTGATGCTGAATAAACATTTTTTTGTTGTTTTATTTTGGTTTCTTTTGAGACAGGGTCTCACTTTGTAGTTCAGACTGACCTGGAACTCACTAATTAGCCCAGTCTGGTCTCAAACTCACAGCAATCCTCCTGCCTCAACCTCCCAAATGCTGGGATTGCAGGTGTGTGCCACCATGCCCAGCTCCTGAATAAACATTTTAAATGACTGGCTGGATTCATGGTGTTGTTCCATCTGAAAACTCTGACTTCTTTTTATGAAGGTAGGCTATATTGATAATCACACTTGCTACAGACAGTGCAGTAAAAACTAAAATTACAAACTAATATCAAGTATGAGCTTTAAGCAAATGATCAAAATAAAAACAGTTAAGTAATGCTTAACTAGACATGTTCTGAGAAAGGCATAAACGGGTGATTTTTGTCACTGTGTTGATACCACAGTTATACAAGCCTAGATGGTGCTGCCTGTGATGCACCTAGTCCACTATACCCTCATGGCACCAGGTCTTACCTACAGTGTGTTGATGACCACATTTTTGTTTCGAGGCTCATGAACTGTATCAGCGACAGACCACAGCACCACATTCAGAAAGTACTGCAACTTGATGACATGAGAATTGTTCCAGCAACTCAAGTTTGGTTTAGTATTTTTTAAAATCCATACTGTACCGTCTTAGTAGGTAAAGAAAAAAAACCATAAAAATAGAGAATAATTGATACTTCTAAATCACAGAGGTCAATAGAAATATACATATATATATATGTGTGTATATATATATATATATATTCATTC